TAGTCGCCTCCAGAATGAGGTTTTCCCTCCTACTTAGATTCTTTTGAAAATGAGTAACAGAAAAAGTAATTTCATATGCTTTCAGTATCTTTGATACTGAGTAATGAATATAAGCTTATAACAATCTTTTACCTGTGAATGTCTTCTTTTTTTTTTTTTTTATTATGAGTCCTAATATTTGTCCACCTGGGTAATTCTGTGTATTTCAAAGATATTTGCAAATGAGGCAGCTCCTCCTGGCACCTCAGAGAGGATCTTTTTCCTGAAAAGAAAAACATGGTGTATGCTTTAAACAAAATATGGAAAATCAGTGAAGAAAAAGACATCCTAAATCTTATTCTGGCTCATTGATTTGCAATCTCTGTTCACATAGGAAAACTCATTAATTTTCTGTTTCAGAATATTATCTGCCTTCTCGATCACAAATGATTCATTTTAAGATGACTCATGGAGTGATTTTGATTACCAATATTGTAGCTTTAGAAGAGAATTATTAATTACCATGTGTATTTCAGAACTGTTTGCAGTTACCATTCAGGGAAGGAAGCTCTTGTAATGAATTGAGATATGGCCAAAGTTCATACCTAATTTTGGTACTGATCTCTCACTGAATTTTAAAAATCTATTTTTTTTGGCTGCTGCTCTGTTTAACCTCTCCATCTGGTCATAGATATATTCAAGAGGCTTACTTTTTGAAATGAAATATTTGAACTCTGTGTGAAGGGGAGGGGGGGGGAAATGTTGATGCTGACCTCTGTAAATATTCTGTTGTGTCAATAGAGTGGCATGCCACACTAATAACAGGGTCAGGATGCTGTAACCATTGAGTAGTTCTTATTCATGGAATGTTTCTAAAGGGTAATAGACTCTAGCAGCCTAAGAGAGAAAGTTCTGCCTCATGCCTATATGCTACTAAAGGAGAGTTCTTGCTTCCATTCTTTTTTGCCCCAGTTTCAGTGCTTGAAAGGTCTTTTGGTCAGCTGATTTGGCTCAATCCATCAGCAAACAATCTGCTTTTTTGAAATTATTTACTTCCTTAGTTTTCTCCTGTAGTTATTTGGGTTCAAGGAGGTTAACAAGTATCAGAAACAAAAAAAGCTTCACCAGTTTAGTACCTTGTGCTTTTTGACACCTTACCTTTTAAATTGTTTTGACCTGTCTTGTGGAACTACACTTACAGACAACTTGCTGCAGAACCAAGTGCAACATGATTTTTAGGCTTGCTTGGCAGGAGTTAACTCTTCTGAGAAAAAGTACAAATATTTCTTCCAAAAATCTTAACTACTGCATTTTTTTTTTCCAGGCTTCTTTGCTTTCTTACACAATGAAAAGTATCCCCAAAGAAAAATGCTAGCAAGAAGGAGGAATGAGCTGAAGGCAGATTGATCTAAATAAAAGATTTAGAGAAATGTATTTCTATCCCTTAAGAGAGAATATGTCTGTATACATCAGTAAAGTTTTCAGTAGTAAGGATGAACTTTCAAACTGTTGAGAGGCAGGAAGGGTTACTTAAAACTTACATGAAGTATCATGTGCTAAAAGTTAAAAGAAGCTGGTTCTATGAAACATTTGCTATCTTGATCTTGCTGGCTTTCTCTACCAAGGCTGGCTGCTCCCACTTTGCTTTGACTTATGTCCTGTATTGAGCTTGTGAACTTTCATTGTAGAAGAGAAAACTTCGGGGTGAATTAAGGCTTTATTTTGTCTCATTATGCTACTAATGTTTGACTCAATTGAAACAGGTCTAACCAGGAATGTTTTGAAGAAGCTTATCTCCCAACTCTGCAAACGCTGTTAAATGCTCCTGCAACTTCACCTTTGTCTGAAATAGATGTCAGTAATGTTTCTGAACTGTTAGTGGACCTGACCAGACCAAGTGGACTGAAACATCAGTCTAAGTCTCAGGACTACCAGGTACAGTGTTTTAAACTGGAGGAAAACCACATCTGTGTCTAGAGATTAAGAACTGACCCCCTTCACTTACTGCTGGCTGTCTGGGCCTCTCTGAGATTCCTAGTGTTAGAAGCTGGATTAAGTGAGTGACTATTCAGGTAATGAAAACCCTTAGCTTGACCTCCCCCTCCAACCCTTGCAATTTCCCCTCTCATAGATAAAAATACTAGTAGGAACTTGCATCATGGCCAATTGTCTATATTGGGATTTCTGTAAATCAGTTGGTGTATGTGCTCAAAATACAGCTTTTTAGGAAAACGCTTACTCTGTAAAATCAGTCATTAACTGCTTAAATCAGAATGAACTTATTGCTGTCTTTTGTGACATTTCCAGCAAAATTTCTGATATCTAATTTCTTTTCTTTATAGGAATTAACAGTGCATGATAGTTTAGCAATGAAAATTTGCAATGAAATCTTGATGGACCCAGCTGCACCAGATGTTCGTATTTACACAAAAGCTTTAAATTCTCTGGAACTGAGTAGTTCTTTCACAGAGAATCTTCTGGTTCTCGTCAATGAGATTCTAGAGGTAGTATGTAATAACATGATTTTTTTTAAATCATTGCCAATCTAATATTCTGAGATGCTTAAAAATGAAGGGCCTTTTGTTTACAATGTGATGAATTTCTCTTAACCAATCTTTGAAAATTAATTTTTGATGATTGTTTATAAAAATCTGAGCTGATATCAGCGATGTATATAATTTACATATTTCAGTTATCATAGATAGTAAACCTAGTGTGAAACAGTGTTGCCAACTGGATAAGTTTCAGTACAGTAAGTTGTTTTGATAACTATGGTATAGATTTTTTACGTTAAAATCCAGCATTGTCTATCACATTTTGAATGGCCTACCTGTAGTCAATTATTAACAGCTGAAATTTTATGTCTAAACTTATGTAACTATAAGATCATTAGATGACATGAAAAGGGTGCTTGATTTAAGATGAAGTGGGAAAGGACTACAAGAGTGATGTGAAAGGTTTTACATTGATGCTTTTATTAATATGGAAAAGAAAATTAAAATTTGGGACTGCTATGGAGAAAGAGAATGACACATAGTAAGTTGAAAAGAGTGTTCGTCTACTATGGGCATATCGTCTGTAGCTAGGTATGCGTCAGGACTCAGGTGGAAAGGTCCAGTTGCTTCAGTGTTTTTAAGGTTCCTTTAAAAAAAAAAGAAAATCCAAAAAAGTATTTTGGTGTCAATGAAAAAGTGTTTCTCCTATGAACTTGACTGATTGTATTCATGTCACAAATTGTTTCCTTTGTGCAGTAATTTAAAATTTACCCACTAATAGGATATTAATGTATAAAAGAAATAGCTGAAAAATTAAGTAGCATTTATCTTTAAATGTCTTCTCCAGAAAGTGAAAGATAAACTGTGTCAAAGAGCTATTGAGAAGATCAAGATGAACTTGACCAAAGATCCTAATGTGGGCAAAGACCACTCTGAAAGGACTGAGGAAACGGGTCTGTCTGAGGGGACACAGGAAACTGACACTGCACTATCAGAAAATACTATTCAAAATGAAGAAGGTAATTCAGGAGAGGTATAGTTTAGTAGTAGATATGCCACTGAGTGACTTGTTTAGATGTTATGAAAAGAAGTTTTTGTTTTTCTCTGTTAAATTGTTCTACTTTTGGAAAAAAAAAAAAAAAAACAAAACAAAACAAAAGGGAAAAGGTAACATCTAGTAAATCTGCATGCAGTTTAAAATATTATTACTGAAGTATCTTCCATTTTTTAAAATTACTTTTTGATTGATTCTGTGTTTTCTTATTACTCTAGTATAACTAGTGCTGGATCTTGAGCTCTTTCTAACAGAGACAGTATTAAAATGTATGTTTTTTCCAGCTGCTTGGCACACTCATGTGCCTGCATACTAGTGCTGACTAACTCATCTTTAGAATGTGACTTATGAACTTGGCAGAAGAAACAAATACTTTGTGGGGATTTTAGACTGTGGAGTAACCATGCCTGTGCTTCTTGCTGACTGCATTAGCAATATGCTGCTAGCTTTTATGATGGAGCCAGATTTGGGTTTATTGCTATTTAAGAGCTTGAAGTGGAAGTAACTGGAAGACTTTCCACCACCTGCACAACTGATGCAGCTGCATGTGCCTTAGCAGTGTAGGTGGTTCTGGTGGCACAGAAAGTCCAAATTCCTTCAGCGGAAAAACAATTGAATGAAACTTGTTTGGGTTTGCTTGCAGCAACAGAGCAAAGACACAGATGTGCAGCTGTTTTAAGCAGATCATGCTTTCTTTTAAGGTTTCTTTTAATTATTTGTTTGTTTTCTCATGGATTATTTCAATGTTTTAATCTGCTGCTTCTGGAAGTGTCAAATACTTTTATCTTCTATGTTTTGTCTTCAAATATTTACTCAATAGGAAGTTAGAAGTATGCTTTTTGAGAAAATATTTGTACTGTTTTCTTTTACTTCTGGTAATGAGCCCGCTATGTGCTCTTCTGCCCAAGAAGGTCAATGGTATTCTGGGGTGCATTAAGAAGAGTGTGACCAGCCAGTTAAAAGAGGTTCTTCTCCCCCACTACTCTGCCCTGGTGAGGCCACATCTGGAGTATTGTTTCCAGTTCTGGGCTTCTCAGTTTGAGAGACAGGGAGCTACTGGAGAGCATCCAGCACAGGGCTACAAAGACGACTTAGGGGATTGGAACATCTCTTATGAGTAAAGGCTGAGAGACTTGGAGCTGATTAGCCTGGAGAATACTGAGAGGGAATCTTGTCAATGCTTATCAATATCTAAAGGGTAGATGTGATGAGGATGGGACTAGTCTATTTTCAGTGGTGCCCAGTGATAGGACAAGGAGCAATGAGTACAAAATATAGTACAGGAAGCTCCATCTGAACATAAGGAAAACCTTTACTGTGAGGGTGACAGAGCCCTGGAATGGGCTGCTCAGGGAGGTTGTGAAGTCGTCTTCTCTGGAGACTTTCAAAATCCACCTGGATGCCTTACTCTACAACCTGCTCTAGGTGAACATGCTTTAGCAGGAGGGTTGGACTAGATGTCTTGTGGCCCATTTCAACCCATACTGTTCTATGATTCTGTATAGTACTTTTTGATATGAATTTCTCATGAAACAGGATTTTGGAGCAATTCTTAAAAGCAGAGTGTAGGAGAAACACATTGTTCCCTTCCCCTCTCTCACCCCATTGGAATGGGAATACACTTAGGATAATTAAAAATAAAGTAGCATTTAGTACTTCAAATTCGTAAGTGATAGCTGTGAGCAGAAAGGGCAACAGACACTATTTTTGTACTCAATTGCTGTAAAAGGGATGTAGATTTGACATTATGAGAAAAGCTTCCTAGCAATAACAGATTGCTGAAGAAAGAAATGCTCTAAAATTGTTAAACTTTAAGAACAGAATACTTCAGTTGGAAAGGATCTGCAATAGTTGTCTAGTCCAACTGCTTGACAACTTCAGGGCTGACCAAACGTTAAATCATGTTGTTAAAGGTGTTGTCTAAGTGCCTGTAAACACTGACAGGGCAGGGACATCAACTGTCTCTCTAGGAAGACCCTTCCAGTGTTTGACCACCGGCTTGGTTTTAAAAAAAATGCTTCTAAATGTCTAGTCTAAACCTCCCTGGAGCAGCATTGAACCATTCCCACGTGTCCTGGCACGTGGTATGCAGGAGAAGAGATCACATCTCTCTCCACTCCCGCTCCTCAGAGGCTGTAGAGAGCAATGAGGTTGCCCCCCTGTGGACACGCTTCAGCATCTCGGTGTCTTCCTCCTGGCGAGGGGCCCAAAGCTGGTGCAGCCACACCTCGAATACTGTTCAGCGCCAAGTACAGGGGGATGGTCAGTTCCCTAGTCCTGCTGGCCACACATTTCTGATACAAGCCAGCGTGCTACTGGCTTTCTTGGCCACCTGGGCACACTGCTGACTCATTCAGCTTCAGGCATTCAGCTGATAAAACTGGTCCCTTGGAATTTCAGTGTCCTCAAATGGAAAGTCACGGTTCCCATGCTTGCGGTCCTCTGACTTGGAGGACCAGGCAGCCTGAGGTCTATCAATATTATTAAAGTCTGAGGCAAAAAAAATTGAACTGAATGCTTCTGCTTTTTCTTTATCCCTGTTAGTCAGCTGACCATCTTCAAAAACTATTGGTCCGATATTTTCTCCAGACTTCCTCTCCCCATTAATGTACTTTAAAAAGCCCTTCTTGCTATCTGCCATAACACTGTCCAGCTTCAATTCCAATTGAGCTTTGGCTTTTCATGTTGTCTCCCTGCATGTATGAAGCACATCTCTGCAATCTTCCTACAAAGCCTGACCTTGCTTTCAGAGATTGTACAACTTTTTTCCTCTTGAGCTCCATTAGGAGTTCTTTGTTGGGCCAAGCTGATCTCCTGCCCTGCTTGCTTGACTTACAATACAATGGCGGGGGCTAAACGATTGTCAAGAATACTTCACAAGTGATTGACCTGTGTCAGACCAGGGTTAGAGCTGAGCAATATTTTAAGCTTCCTTCTATCCCTATTATCTAATTTCTAGTTTAATGAAAAAGTGATGTTAAAATTGTGTGGCTTTTTTATGTAACAGCCAAAATTATAATGCTGGTACTTAAGATGAGTATCTATGACTTCTGCATGTGCTCTTCTGTTTAACAGAAAATAAAGATGCTCTTCATACTCCAGTTAATGAAGCTAAAAGTAAATCAACTGCAAAATTGAAATCCACAAGAAGCAAAGCTGGCAAAGGTAGGCACCATTTTTTTTTTTTTTTTTTCTGTCTACAGTAGATGTTTTTAATAGAATAATTTCATGCTAACTTTTTGAACGTACAGATATAAAAATTATTCAGTCTTCACACTTAATTGTAGTTTTGAAAATTGTAGTTGTTAAAAGATTAAAGTAGTCTTTTTTGTGGAAACTTCTGTGCTGTTACCCTCTCTCGACAACAGATCTAAAAAAAAAAAAGGCCAGCTACAGGATTTCAAGATAATTTGGCCACAGTCATTTGCAGTAACCTCCAGGTTTTGATGGGAGCAGGGGTACCTTGCGGGTCTCTTGATGTTGATTTTGCTTCATCACCACATTCTGTCTGGGTGAACGTGTATTTGTTTCAATGCAATATCAAACACTGAAAAAAAGATACAGAACTAGTTTAAGAAAAGAAATGGGATCATGATGTGAAAGGAGACTTTTGCTTATGCTTAGGACAACAGAAAGCAGCAACAGCAGCAGCAGTGAGGTCTGTGAGCAGAAGAAAAACCGGTTCAACTGTCAGATGCAGTAGCGAAAGGTAAGTGCTTTTCTCTCTGCCACCAGAGCCCTGATCTGTGTTCTAGCAAGGAAATTCAACCCAAATGTTTTTCTTTCCTGTAAGTTGCATTTTCAATATTTACTCCTAATGCACAAGTAAATATTTAGGGAAAAAAAAAAAAATTATTTGAACCCAGTACTTTTGAAACAATAAAATGTGAAGCTGCCAAGCCTTTTATTATCATTGCCTAAGAGGCTTTAATTTTTTTTTAACGTACCTTTTTTGTGTAGAGTTAACACATTCTAGCCAACAAAAGTTAAATTTTTGGCTTACGTTTTTGTCACTTTTCAACATGGAGCTGAGAAGCTTCTGGAAATGACCGATCGGTGACTATACGTGAGGCATTCCTTCCCTTATGATATTGATGGATATAAGCATTAAAATGACATCTCTGTAATTTTCAGTTATGCTCACTCTTTCTCAAGCAGGTCATCCATGGACTTCAAGGTGACCACGGCCTATCAGTCCTAGTTGCTTGTTTGTTTTGTTTACGTTGACACCACCCATAATTTGGAGATTTTGCCTTTTTCCCAACCATTAACACTTGCTTATCTTTAGTGATACTGCTGTTTCACTTGGAAATCATTTAATATACTCTTCTTAAAAACCAAATTTTACCATTTTTAAGAAGTAATTTTGTTCTTGAAGATGGCATTTCAAGTTCATTAATATAAGAACTTTCCAGTTTGCTTAGTCTTTCTGACCTTACTTTAAAATATTTTACATTTCAGTGGTGATGAAATTCCAAAATCAGTCCCAATGTCAAGTTCAAGGCCCTCAAGACGAGCCAAAACAGTGGCAATTGAGAAAACAAGAATGAATCTTTCCAGAGTTTTGAATAGCGAATCAGATGAATGAAGACAGGAGAGAAAGTGGCCTTTGCCAGTGCTGGTAGTTAACGTCAGACTTGAAAAATAAGATTTCGTTTATTATGAGTTATATTTAACTCTTTTTATATTATGATCATTTATAATTTAGGATTTTTCTAAGAACTCTAAAAATTTTTAAAATAGATGCTTTTGATGATTTTCCTGATATGAAGTTTGTCATTCACGTAATAAAAACGTACTAAAATATTACCTGAAAAAAAACTTGGGGATTTTTTTTTTCACTGTATACAGAAGTATGCTTTTTGTCTTCCAATAAAAGTAGCTGTTGGTGGTAAGTACATATTAGTCAAAGCTCTTTTGATATTTAACATTATTCGGATGTTTCACCTGACATGGTTGCTTGTGATTGGAGCAGCTTTGAATGGACCTACCTCTAATGCTCCTATGTTCTTCATTTATTAGCTTGTGCTTCTGCTGACCAGGTTTTATGGTTCTTGTTAATGTAGAATAGAATTAATCTTAATTTTGAATTCTGCTTCCAGTAGATGTGTCTGTTTTAAATAATATCAGAATGGTAAAACTTTGTTCCCAGCTTTCCAAACCCAAGCCTGGACGTCTGCTACTTTTCTTGACCTTGTTATAAAAAATAAGTAATGTGCTTTTAGAAAAGCATAGCAATATTTGTGGTACAAAATAAGACCCAATAAGGAAAGGAATACTTGAGTACAGAAGGGGCAAAAAAGAAACTACTTTATAAGGTCTGTGCACTAACTTTTTATAGCAGCATGTAACTGTGATTTCTTTGTAGCTTTTTGAAGTTCACAAACCTTTTTCTAGCAACACATCTGCGAATAGTCATGAGTTTTAAAGAGACAATAAAAGATGAACATTAACTGCACATAGTCACTGGTGGCTGAGCAGATTCACTCTGGAAATGCTAATGTTCTGGATTCGAAACGCTGTCGATCATGTCTGCCTGGGTTACGGTGCAGTCAGAGGAAACTCATGTCAATTGCTTGACATGTGCATCTCAACTACTGATGCCAAAAGTAGCTTTCTAAGGAACTTGCCTTTAAAAAAGGTAAATATACAGTAAATGATCTTTGTTAATTCTCAGAAACGGCTTAGGGGCACAAGTGAAAAGTGTCATTCCTGAAGTGTAACGCCCAAACTATTTTGCCATTTTCAAGTTTGCGTATAGAAACCAGACAGGATTGTGTTGCTTTTCCTCCTTTTCAGTTTTTGTTGGAAACTTGTGAAACCACAAAACGCCACGACAGACTTTTCTGCTGATATTTGCTATTCAAAAGCTTATATAACTGTGGTAAATTATTTTTATTTGACATTTTAAAAAGAATTTTGAAATCCCAAGCTCTGTTTCTCGATAATTGTTTTCTTCAGATCCGCAGCTTGTGCTCTAATTTGAGTTTGTGTACATGCAAACCCTTGAGATCCGACAGTCTGTCCCCTTGAATGCTGCCTGAACATAGTTCAAAAGGATGAAGTCTGTATTTCAGTTTTTCTGCTGATTGTCAACCAGTGCTTCCTTTGGGCTTTCAAATTCAGTTTTGTGTTGGTCGGTTGGTTGTTTTTTAAGTTCCAAGTTCTCTTCCACCCTCACTCTTTTGTGACTGGTTTGCTTTTCTGACACTAATACACTTTCAACAACCGTTGCTAGTCCACTTTGATTTCTGATTAAAATGAGTTTCTAGGAAAAGCAGGAGCAATAAAAATTCATAAGGGCTTCTCTGGGAATGCCTTCCTGAATAAATTGAAGACCTTCAGTTTTGCCTTCTTGCTGTTCTGTCAGCCCTTGCCACACATGGAGTTTCTGTCTGTGGCATCTCTTAGGAACGCTGTACTGTACATCTTTGTTGCACACGATGGGAGGACAAAAACCAATGGGCATGAGTTGAAACTCAGACCATTATGTAAGGAGAAAAAGGCAATGGAACAGTTTGAGAACAGCTGTAACAGGCTGCCCAGAGAGGCTGTGCAGGTTCTGTCCTAGGAGGTTTTCAAGACCTCAACAATCCGCTCTGACCTGGCAGCCTTTGAGCAGGATGTAGAGCTGTGTGGTCCTGAGGTCCTTCTGTGCCTGTTTGTGATCTCTATTCGGACTAGAAACTAAAACCAGCATCTGGCACATAATTTCCAGCCCCTCTGGTGTCTTCCCTGCTCTTCCCCCTGTCAAGGGAAGGTTTTCCTGTGCAATAGGAAAGGCTGTAAATTGCTCTTGCAAAATTACTTCAGCTTCTGAGGAAGGATGGTCACTTAATTGTGGGTAGGATGATTGGATGTGTGCTCTGTTTTGCAAAGCTGATTATTAGCAATAATCAAGGTTTAAAGGTATGCAACTGACTGAGAAAGTTGCATATCGTAGAAGTAGAGTCCACCCAGAACTGATAAGCCCAAATCTGGAAGTATCTTAATACCTGTAGTGAAATAATCTTGACTTATACTGTATGTTACTCTTGCTAGCTAAAATAATGTTGCTGATTTTTATTTACTTTAATTCTGTGGGTTGAAAGTACCTAATGTCCTGGCTGCTTAATTGAGGAATAAAATTTTAATCCCTAAAATTGACTTAAACAGCCTCTGTTGCTCTGAACGAATTACCGGGCATTCTCTCCCTTACTGCTGGCTAAACCCGACAAGGTGTTAGACATGAGCTGCACTAGGCCTCGACTTGATTCTATATTAAATGTGGATAAAATAGCAGCAGTCATTTGTTGTCAAATTTAAAATGATCCTGTTTATTCCTATGCTATCTTTTGTTTCTTAAAACCAGTTCTGTGATTGTTATCAAGCCTTCTGGTCTGTAGTCTGAAGAGACTGATTAGGCAAGCAAACAAAAACAATCTCCTGCGTCTGGTCACCATCTCAAGGTGAAGGTGAGTGCTGCACCAAGGACATTTCTTTTTCTAGTTTTGTATATTGTCTGACTTAAGGAAGTGGTTAGTGAGCTCAGGTTATGCCTGTGTCTGACTCCCACCTGAAAACTTCTGAACTCACCAGCCATCTGAAACTCGCTGTGACACAAAGGAAGGGATCATAATTAACTCAACAAAACCAGACAGCTGCCTGGAGGCAAGTGAGACATGTCTGTAACGGGTTCTGCTATTTACTTGGTCTTCGAAATGAGAAAATCCTTGTGGCATCTCCTCCTTCAGGTGCACGAACAACACTGGCTGCCTGAGTTCAGTGCTTGTAAGAGTGTTTTTATGTCCCTCTTTGGGTGGCCCCGACTCCTTACTGTTGCTTGTGCTTTGGTGGGGCTCCACTGAAGGCAACTTCAGTCCCTCTGCCCAAGGAAGTTTAATTGGCTTTCTTGCCCCACAGAATCCAAGTGCATTAAATAGTTGAGATACGTAAAAATCCTCTAGACAGGGTGGTGTGATGATTAATGCGCAGTCTTTCAGTCGTGTTCTACCCTGATGCTTCAGTGACTTAATGTCCTTGTGAGACTTGCCAGAATTCACAACAATCTTTTTATTTGTTACTGGATTGCACCTGCAAACCAACAAACTTCTGTAAATAAGAATTGCATCTTCACTTTAAGTGAATCCTTAAAACCTTTGTTTTATATAATACAGTGTCATCCA